AGACATAAATATCAGAGAATAGTAAATAAACTTTACCAAAATAAACAAGTATCTTATAAATTCGACAGTGAGGTAATTTTGTATTTGTTGTTTTTTGTTTTTTTTAATCTTCATGGTAACATATATTAGAACCGTGATTGTCAGCTATGTAATTGCACTATTCATAGCACTGGAAAGCCACACTAAAATAAAACAAACAATAAAAAACGAGGAGTTTCAATGACAAAAAAACGTTGCACCAATACATAGTTTTAGGTTTTCTTAAAGGGCATAAAGCATATTCAACAAAATGACTTCTTTTACTTCTTTTTTAGGGTTTATAAATAATGACGATCAATTCTAAAGATGAACTTTAAATTTCACCAATTGGACATAATATATCCGAAAGAAATAATTCAGTACCTTAACAACACGTGTTTTTTTTTTATTAAATACATGGAAAGTAAAGAATTTCTAGAACAACTCTTTTTTTTTTAACTTCTCTCTTCCGTATTTAATGAATAATCCAACAACAGCGAACTCTATATATTTGTACTCTAGAAGAAGTAAAGATCGATCGTTGACTTGGTCGCGCCCCGCTAACCACAAACGCGCATTCAATTTCAACCCGAGGTGATTAAGAACGAGTTCTCGAAGGAGTTTCACGATTTAGCCACGCCAGGTAGTTGAACTAGCATGCTGACTTCTCTCTCTCTTTTATTACGAGAAAATTTCAGATCTGGATAAAGTCAATGGGTGTATCTTGATAATAAATACAATAAAAAATTGGATGAAAAAACTTGTTTTCAAAGATCTCACTGTACGGAACTAAAAGCTAGTCGTAGTTATAAGAAAGCTAGTTGTAGTTGTAAGAACATACGGGCTAGTTGTAGTTGTAAGTACTTAAGAGTTAATTGTTATTGTAAGGACTTACAAACTAAAACTGTAGGTGTAATTACTGCTCAAGATGTGGGGATGTAAGGGTTAGTTATAGTTTTACAGACATAAGAGTTGTAAGTACTGTTCAACTTATGCGGACGTAAGAGTTAGTTAAAGATGTAACTATAGTTCATGTTGTGAGAACATAGAGCTAGTTGTAGTTGTGAGGACGTGTTAGCTGTAGTTGTAATGACATAAAATAATACTTGAGCCTAAATAACACCTATTCCTTGAGCGGTGTAGAAAACAGTAATGAAGCTGTTATACGATGGAAAAAAAAAACATGTTAACATTTCCACTCAACCCGAATTATATGTTATATACATGTATTACTACACAGTACTACACACACACGTGTTACGACATTATATTTGTATACTTTGAGATGACAAAAGATAATATTGCACATTTCAAAGTGACGGCACCTAGTACTCTAGCGTCACAACTGAGTCACCCAACAAATTCTCACGAAACGCGATACACTCCTTTCAGTTAATGGTGAAACCTATTAAAACCAATAGGATGTCCGCAAAGACATAAAATCTAATGTGGGTGTGACCACATAAATGTATAATTTGTCAGCAATGCAAATAAGTTCATATTTCGATTAATTTTTGTAGGTTAACGTAACCTTTGAGCGAGAAAACTTCAAAGAACTATTTAATTAATATATATTTTTTTATGATTCAATTACTAAAATCAACTGTTCACTATATACCTAAATATTGTAGTTTGCTGAAACTGTTAAATCCTACTTAGAACTAATTTCAAATTCAACGACATAAATACAAAATATTAAACGAAAATCTTTGTAATGCGAGTCCCCTCGCAATATATAACAGTAAAGATGGCGCCTTTTTTTATATTGGTTGACGTTGCAGAAAATGTGGTTGTTTTTCCAATAATGCACGATTTTCAAGAAAATTGCATATGTGAGAAAGGAGAAAAGTAAAATGTTTTTGCTTACATCTTATACCTTGTGTGTATGTGTGTGTGTGTGTGTGCGTGAGTTCCGAGACCTCTTACGACCGTTGGGGCACCTTAGAAGCCAGTGTATCATCGGTGATTCTCGGGCAGGGTTTTACCTGGTGGCGCCAATCTCCTCTCCAAGTAGCCGTCCCTATTTTACCAGTGAAAGGCTAGAAGGAAGGCAGCTTGTCAACGTTACCCACCGCCAACCCTTGGGCTACTCCTATTACCATGGGATAATGCGATTGACCGTCACGTTAAAACGCCCCCACGCTGAAAGGACGATCATGTTCGGTGATGAGGATTCGAACCCGCATATTGCGAATAGAGCGCTCTAACTACTAGATCATGTCAGGCCTACATCCTACCTATGAACATAAAAAAAGTACGCTAATCTTGATCACAGTAAATCACTTACATTTTGTTGCGCACAATTACGTAAAATGTTGTAAAAGAAAATGTGCTTTTGTTTAACAGAAAGTGTTGTGGTTTGTAGTATATAGTCACGTTACCTATCAGTTGGGACCTGATGTAGCCTGATATGCCGCTGAGCACTTTAAGCTTTCTTGTATATATATATATATATATATATATT